CTCCTGGCCGGCCTCCCTTCCCCTACCCTCAGCTCCCCGCCATGGCTGCACTTCCTGCCTGGCCCAAGCCAGCCCTTCCCTGCTCTGTGCTAACCCACTTCCATGGAGCAATGGGAGCCCTGGTCTATTCGGCAGAGTTAGGTCCACGCAGGGCCACTGATGTTGGCCTCTGTCTGTCAGCGTCCGCGCCCACAACCATCAGCGCCCTGCTGCTCCAGGATCTTTACGTCTCCCGGGTGGCCAAGGGCCCATGTCGGTGTCATTGGGGTGAGGCCACGTTCCTGACAGGGGCTGCTGGCTCCCATTCTTGTCAATTTCACTGATCCCTCCCCCCGCGCTGCAGCTGGGAAATTGACAAGAAAAACTGGCAGGGGCCCTGGTGTGAAACGGGGCAGGGGTGGGAAGCGCCAACTCTGGCCTGGCTGCCCCCAGGGGGCCCAGCTCCCTGCTGGGAGCTTCCCCACTACCTGCTAGGAGACCAGCTGCCCCTGGGTCCCTGCTCCCAGCCTTCCTATTCTGAACTGGGGAGCCCAGCAGCAGCCCAGGTTCTGGGCATGGCCCACCCCACCAGGCCCTGGCCTTAGGGATGCAGGCAAGTTTCCTAACCCTTTAATCAGCCCTGGGGCTCTTCTCTGACTCCCCTCCCCCCCCAGCTGCATAGCACTACCTGCTAGGAGACCAGCTGCCCCTGGGTCCCTGCTCCCAGCCTTCCTATTCTGAACTGGGGAGCCCAGCAGCAGCCCAGGTTCTGGGCATGGCCCACCCCACCAGGCCCTGGCCTTAGGGATGCAGGCAAGTTTCCTAACCCTTTAATCAGCCCTGGGGCTCTTCTCTGACTCCCCTCCCCCCCCAGCTGCATAGAGCGAGCGTGGGGCTGGGCGTGGAAGCGGCTGGGGGTACGGCTGGATGCGAACTGCTTGGCCCCCTAAACTAGCCTAGTGACAGTAAAGCTGCAGCTGCACCTTCGCACCACTAGGGGGAGCCATGACCCTACCCACTCCCCAGCTGGCTTGTTTTTGCTGGTAAAAAGGGACTGGATTTGAGCCCTGGATCGGGGCCCCCAGGCTGAGCCCCTGGGTGACCAAGGCTGGAGAACACCCCAGAGCTAGACCCAGCGCTTAGGAAAACCCCCATTCACAGTTAAACAAGGCACTGGGCTTGCCAGACAGGATCAGACACAAGGCCCATCTAACCCAATATCCTGGCTCTGCCGCACGGGAAGGTGATCTCCCCCCCCCCATGAATTCCACTGTGGCCCCAGCTCGACCACAGCTCCAGCTCTAGCACCCTTCCCAAACTATCATCAGCACCTATACTCCCTGGGGCTGGTTGCTGGCTGGCTCACCTACAAAGCCCTCTTCCAGAAGGTCTGGTTTCAGCACCATCCAGTAACAAGGAGTTCCACAGGGTAACCACATAAGTGCATGAACTGTTGGCTTGGATTTCAAGTGGTCACCATGCCCGGGTACTGCCTGTCCCCTGAGCTCATGGAGGGGTCAGAGAGAAGAGAAAGATCCTGGGGATTTTTATTGAAATAAACACGGATAATGTAGCAGGGAGAGCCGGTACTCGCTGGGGCTCAAACTCACAGCTCTGCTGGCAAGTAGTCAGAGAATCTCTCCTACTGGGGGCAGGAGAATAGTTGGGGGTGGGTGCATTCTGATGTTTCAGGTAAAATGGCAGTTTGAGAGTTCAGGGTAAAAACCACTTTGGGAAGGGACCTACCTTGCATATTAGTTGGTCTAGCCCTCAAGAGCCTGCAGATCAGGACTCCAGGGTACGTACATGATTATTAGGTGCATTACGGTAGCACCCAGGAGACTGTAACAGCCCAGGACCTCTCATGCTGGCAGGACACAGCCTGACACAATCATTAAACAAAATTAACGCTGAGGCCCTGGGCTTTGAGCACTAGCTTGGCTGAATGGGAGTCAGGGCTCCTGCTTCCTCCTCCCCCCTCTGCCCCACAGCTGCTCTGAGCTGGGGCAAGTCCCCCTCACATTCCAAGACACAGGATGGGAGGGGAAACTGAGGGCAGCTCTCCAGCACAGGAGCCGTCCTTCACTGTGCAGCCCCCAGCTGGCCAGAAGCCCCAGGCTGCATGAGGACTTGTGTGATACTTCAGCTGAGTTACCCCAGCAGCTGTGACTTTTCAGGGGGCCAGGTCCCACTTGCAAAGAGCCAGGGGAGAACCAAGAGCCTCTCCTGGGTGAGAGGTGCAAACACAAAGGGGGTGTGCATTCCGCATGAAGGACACAGTGAAGGGAATCTTCCTTCAGTGATAGCAGTATAGGGCATAGGACTCACAGGAGAAACAGGCTGATGAGAAAGGTAATTCCAGTGCCTGTGACCAGAGCCCAGGACTGAAGTCCAGAGAGAAGAACAAGGCTCCCAAAGCCACAGAGTTACTCTCAGGAGAAATTTACTCCTGCAGTTTGTCTCTTCTGCTGTGGGGCTCAGCTGCTACCTGGGTGAAAGGGGAATAGTCAGCAGCCACTTCATCTTCTTCTCACCCATCTCCATCCGGCCTGGCCCAGCCCCACAAGTGCTCAGCTACCACCCGGGGCTTATAACAGTTTAACAGCAACAGGGGAAGGAGGATGGGAATGGGGCTGAGACCCACAAACGCATTCAATCGAGCTGGAAAACCACTTAAATCATTAGTCACCCAGGGGTCAGTCAGAGCCAAGCCCAAGTTCGATCCCCCACCCAACCAGTCCCCATGCCCTGGGTCCAGTGCAGAGCCAGTGCAGCCTAGAGGGGCAGCTGCTGGACGTGTGGCCCCTGCAGGTTGGAAAACCCCAGTCTCTCCTCCCCCCACCCTTTAATAAGGAGGCAGCACCTCCCGCTGAAGGGGAAAGAAAAGAATCTGCCTCAACTGCCACTAGGGGGGCACTGGTGTCAGGGCTGCAGGGCTGTCTGCTCAGCCCCATTGCAAGATGGAACCCAGCCCCCCCAGGAGTAAGGGCAGCTGCAAGGTGCTTGAGAGGGAAGGCGGGTGCCGGCGGGTTTGGTTCCACCACATCTCAACAGGCTGGGTTCCAGGGAGGGACCTCGAGAGGGGCAGGTTCCAGGTGCCCCAGAAGAGCCGGGGGAGAGAAGAGACCAGGGCAGTCATTGCAGGTGCTCCAGGAGAGCAGGGGGCATAGGGCAGGTTCTAGGCATTGCTGGTGAGAGGCCAGGTTATCAAGCATTAGGATTCCCTCAGGAAGGGTCTCCAGGTGGCCCGGGGGGAGGGAGGGGCTCACAGCAGGGGAACATCTGGCAGTGCACAATGAGGGCCGGCCAAGGCCAAAGCAGAAGATCTAGGATCAACCAGTCTCCCCCCCCTCCCCATTCCTCTTCTCCCACCCCCCCCCCGGCCAAG